CCATTCGCATCAGGACCCACACCTTGCACGCATGCAGCGTATTGCAGTCAGCTGTATGCAATGGTGCGCGCGTTCAAACAGCTCGTCCAAATACTACTTTCAAGCGGCTTTGTTCGTAACACTATCGTTTAACAAATAATGTTACTTCTTCTCTTGATTACCTGATTTTCGCGCTTTCTTCGCCACTTTTGCGCTATTTAAAACTACCACTTCGGTAACTTGTCTGGAACTAATAGATAACCCAATATTGTGAGTTGAGCCGTTAAGCCCTCTCAACACAAAATTTCATTTTCTTAAAGTGAGATTCTAGCACTGATATCGTAGGCAATTATTCTTCATAGTCTTTGAATTTGAGTCTTCAGTTAGGTCTTTGAGGTCACGGGAGAGCGAAAACTAAACTCATCTATGTTGCTGAGCATAATTCTCTTAAATTTCCGTGATTTCCGGCAACATGAATGAGTCGTTTCTTTTCCCTATTCTGAGACCTCGACAATGGTTCAAATAACTAACCACGCGATGAAGATAGGAATCACGACATCTATCTTCGTATGCTGATTCACCCATTATATTCGTCTATTGATTGATGATCGCTACTTGCTTTCATATTCCATTCCAGTCCACAGTCTGTTGCCATTGTCGTACATCACCGCTTATCTAACCAAGCCTGACTTTGCAATGAGCTTCTGTAGGACCCCTTTTGAATGCGCCTCCCACTATTGCTTGGGGCATTTCAAGGCTGCTTGTTTTAACTGGTGAGTATTGATTTCTTCTTTCACTTATAGGGAGTTTTGCCACGGTTTACCGTGTACTTATACCGTCTCAAAAATTGCTCCGACATCTTCAAATGAGGAGGGTCTGTTTGCATGCCCGCTCCGGAGGCATATTTCCGACGCTGTCTACCCGCTCGTGGTATAATCATTTTTGGAGAGCTGAACTGCTTTTGTGACTTCTACCTGCTAACCAGTTTCCGTTGCTTTCAGGAGAATCAGATGACTGTAAGCCCGGGTGCGTTCTAGGATTCTGCGTTGATCGCAGAGTATGCCAGACTGTTTTGTTCTAGATCAAGTAACCGCGTTAGTACAACAAGAAATTAACACGGTGTTCGTGTTATTCCCTCATCAATTTGATTTTGTCTTCATTACTGTTGGAGATCTTGACACATTTGCCAATCTATCTATGGTTTGCTCTTTCCCATCGCAACTTTAGGCGTATAATCATAATGTTATGTAAGCAGTTAAAGAATTTCGAGCTGACTCAAAAAAATGCAAACTGGATTTTGCTACTAGATTTTTTTAAAATATAAGTCAGGCGACTACGGATCTACAGGCCACGTGAGGCTTACCCAGATGAACTGCTGACCCTGTTTCTGATGTGCTGGTCGATATACCCTCTGTTTCTTGCAGATATATCCGTGCATAGCTGTGTGGAGTCCTCAGGTGCAGGTGGTATAACAGAAATATGAACGGGCCTCGTTCCCTCAAACCTGAGGAAGCCTCTAATACGGCAGCGTTGGGTAGGACCGCTCGGGAGAGGCTTCTAAAATCTCAGAGTCAAAACAGGCTGCTCAGAAGGAGATGGATTGAGATGGCGATCTGTAATATCAACGCACAGACGTTTTTGCAACGGAAGTGTTTATAGAAGATCTGATGATACAAGCTAGGTATAAGATTTGATACGCTCCACCGATTTTGATTTTCTAAGGGTGTCCGAAAAGTTTTGAAAAAATTCAGCCGAATTTTCCAACACAAAATAACGACAGCAACAAACTTAGACAGATACGATAGGGGCTTTTTTAGCCACAATGTCTCTCCATCAACCGAACAAAACATTGATGTCACTCCTCCATTGTAAAGAGAGGCGTCATTCATCTACCACATACTTGACTTCTCGACAGCAGATGAATTTTCCCTTTGGAGCAGGTCTGTAGGCTTTTGAAAGTATAGCAGTAATTTGGGTTGAGGCTAGGTGAATATGTGGGGAGCAGGGTGGTCAGGTATGGTTTTTCCAGCTCATGCATACGTTCTCGCCCGGGCTGGTCGAGCATTATCCATAGCAATCGAAAATTTCCTTGTAACCGGCGTGAAATGGGAGCTCGAAACACCATCTCTTCCAGCCGGCAACAGAATGCTCCTGTGTTAATCGCACTACACTCTGGTAGGATCTCCCAGTAAAATGAACCGGCTGAGCGGAGGAAGAAAAAGCTCAAAATAGAATAAGTTGTCTTCCTTGACGTGAGCGCCTCGCTTTGCAGCGAACGATGACCTTGTCTACTGGTAGTCATTGCGCTTTCCTGGGTGGATCTTCGTATGACATCTAAATTCTATCCTGAGCAACGATGAAGTTGATTGATGTCGTTGTCCGCTTATAGGTGAGGACCTTTTGGTACACTGACTCACATTTACCTGCTGCTCAGCCAGGAAATGGGGATATTTGCAAAGAGTCCTGCTTTGTAAGCGACTTCTGCATAGAACGTCATGAATGATGGGATAAGGAGTAGACATCGTCTATTCCATCTTCTGAGACTTTGAAGAGGATCGCTCTGACGAGAGGCCAGAACAGTGTTTGAATTCGAGAGCAGTGGACGTTGGCTCCGGCAAATTTCGTGGGAGCAGATCTCTTCTAAAAGGAAGCGATCGTGTCATTTATGGTAGGTGACAAGAGGGGGTCACTGCTGCCAGCAAGTCACCATATCTCATTCCAAGCCTGGGTGAAAAAGCGAATAGTTTCGTAATGAAGAAGGAGGAAGCTCCGGTAGTTGTATCGACAGTACATCGTGCGGTCGATGATTACTTACTTCGAACGACCACGTCTAATACGGTTCAGCTACATTATTGATCTATCAACAGTGCCCCTTCCCCTGCTATCCAGTCTAGTCCCTCTTTAGCGGGTTCGCGAGCAACACGCTTTCAAAGTCGAGAGTCAAAATTTTCTCAAGACTTTTCGGAACCCATACATGTCACTTACTGATTAGTAAAGAAGGGGGAGATGATCAAGACTCTGTTGATCAGTTTCATTTTACGACACCTCTAAGAACCAGAATTTTCAGCCGGTAGAAACCTGTTTAATTAGGGCCGAAGTGGTTAGTTGCAAGTGACGCACAATCACACAGGCAAGGCTGCGGGTTCGAATCTTGGATCGAGATCCGACTAGGCTAACCGAGCATTTCATTCGTACGAAGACTATAATCGGTACCAGACTCGTCTGGGGAAATTAAAGCGCTGAATCTACATCATCCGTGTGGATTCAAGCTCAATAGATCGAGGTGGAAGTAATCTATAACAAGGAAGCTCTAAAATTGTGCTTTCTGTTCAGCAGTATTCAGGAGTAGAAACGTTTAGTGAGATAGTTGATGGCTTTCAGGAGTTGTTTGCTGTTAAACATGTCGACAATGAGGAGGTATAGATCATCATAGTTTGCGTATTTCACGTGGGAACACGAAATGGGAATCAGTGTAGAAATTCATCTTCCTTATACTCCACAAATCGATAACAGTGTGGTAACACCCACATAGAATGAGCAAATGGACTGCAGCGCTCAAAGTCGGACACAGAGAATGCGTTCATGATACATAAATTAGTGGTCTTCCTCGCTAAACAACTTCTCAAATACAGAAACGATTAGAGGAATATAAACGACTTTTTCAAGATCAGGGAAAGGGCTCGAGATGAGCAGAATGTGTCCCTGCAATTCGTTACCAGACTGCAAGGTCGTTAACTAATTTGGAAATATTGGCGATTGGCTTGTATGACTAGACGTTTGTAGAACGGTGTCCCTAGTGAATCTATCGGCGAAAACGTCAATCGTGTCCTCCTCATCACTGTAATCTCCTCTTTGATTGTATTGGGTTGTAACATAAGTTCGTAGAGTTTTGTGGTAGAGTCATTTTTACAACCAATTGCTTTGTTTTTTCCGCGAAGTGTATATATTCATTCAGAAGAGCTCTTTCTCCTCTATAAAACAGTTTACTCGTTTTTTTGGGTAATTTAGTTGTACGTCTTTTTTCTGGCTCAGAACTGGAATATCCAGCAGGAGAAAATCAGCATTTTCGACATCTGCTTTTCATCGAGGTCAATAAGCAGCCGAAGCCGCTCGGGACATATGCAATGTGTACGAGTAAGGTGTCTTAGGTGTGTCTCTGGGTGGCCCAAGAAGAGACACCGAAGCCGAGAGTCAAGCAAGACCTTCACTCAAAAAAGATCATGATTTGCGTTTGGTGAGACTGGAAAGGCATGGTGCACTGGGAAACTGCTCGAACGAAACGCTGTTGTCAACAAGAAGGTCTACATTGCCCAGCTGAACAGTGTAAATAAGACTATTCGGCTGAAAAGACCTTATAGAGGTGGTCTAGTCATCTTGCTCCACGACAACACCAAGCCCCATATTGCTCAAGTCGACAAAACAGCACTCCAAGGGCTTGAATGGGATGTTCTTCAGCATCCACTGTACTCTCCGGATCTTGCACCTACCGACTACCACCTTTCCGCTCTCTGTCAAACCAAATGAAGAGTGTTACCTTCGCTGGCGAAGAGGTTCTTAAAAACGGGCTCGACAACTTCTTCGACACCAGACCGGCCGACTTTTGGCGAAACAGCATCAACAAATTGGTCGAGAGATTGGAGGAGGTCGCAAACAGTAACAGGAGTATACATCATTGATTAATTCATTGTTATAATGATTGTTTTTTGCTAAAATAAATCTTTGTGAAAAAACTCTACGAACTTATGTTACAACCCAATAGTTTGTCCCAAAAGATGAAGAACCCACTAGCGAATGTCACATCAATAATTTTCGATTGAACGCTCACAGAGGGCTGTACAACCGAATATGGGAGGAAAAGGTATGTGTAATACGAGCGAGACATGCGAAAAGTGCCTTACCTGATTTTGCTCTTCCTAAAAAGTCAGCAAGTGTCTATAGCAGAAGTCGTGGACCTTACAGCACGAGGGGCGACTGTTGCATCATCGATCTATATTTTTATTCCAGGTTCTGGAATACCTGAAATGAAGACGGTATTACGTGGAGTAGTTCTCAAGGAATATCTCACCATTCGGACTCTCATTTCAAAAATAATTGGTCTGACGTTATCACTCGGGACTGGCCTGCCAATTGGCAAAGAAGTTGGTATGAGTAGATTCAGAAATGCGAGTTTCAACTATTAACCAGTCTAGGGGCCGCTTGTGCATATTGCATCGGTAGTGGCTAATCAGTTGAATCGTTTCCTGTCTACTCCAGATGGAGTCTTTCAAAATGAGTCGAGAGCAAATGAATTTCTCGCCGCTGGTTGTGCTGTTGGTGTGGCGTGCACGTTCAGTGCTCCTGTTGGAGGTGAATCTATATACAGTTAGCTGTTCCAAACAATTTTTCTAGCAGTTTTCTCAAAAAACTAAACCAGAAAATAATGGAAGAGATTACATATTCGTTATGAAGTCTGAACACATGTTCTAAGGGCTTTTAGCACTATTTTAAGGAGTGCTGTTCTCCATCGAAGTCACTTCCGCATATTTTGCTGTGCGAAACTATTGGCGTGGATTCTTTGCAGCCACCTGCAGTGCAACACTTTTCAGTGTACTTCGAGGACTACTCAGGGGCACGGGCAACAACCGTTCTGCTTGGAGTGATTTACGTAAGTTCGACTTCTCTGTTCAGCACAGCGGGAATGATTTGATGATTTTGGAGAAAATTTCGGAGCCACAACTATTAAATGTTTATGGAAACGAACGGCCTGGCGGGCATTAGCACTGTTCATAAATTAAGGCCAACATTGTGGTAATCGTCTGCTCTTTCTCCACAAGCTTGAGACTGGGACAAATTGCAACTTCCTTCCCTGACTTCCTCCTCGTTCCTGAATTCAAGAATATAAGCTGCCTGGTGAGCTTCGGGGGCCCCACAGCTACGACCGTATTCTTAAAAACAGCCGTCTCTTGAATAAAGGAAAATTCGCAGATAAGATTGATTTCAAGGAGATTATCTTCAAATTCACTTCAATTTGTTGAAAACTTCATAACTTCGGCAAACGAATAGATGGTTTCTACTGTTCCTAGCTGCTATGACATAGATATACCGCTTTGACGGGTTTGCCGTGTCCAGTAGTTGTCCATGTTGCCAAGTAAGAGCGAAGCACTTTCTGTCATCCAGACAATGTGAGGCAGGGCTCTATCATGTATTTCTAGTACTTCGATATTGCCATTTATTTCTGATGGGGTCAGTGCCTCCATTAGAATGCGTCTCAAGATCGGGATTGAAAAATTTAGTTGCTATTTAAACATACCTCCCTTTAATCTAAATAAGCACCTGGTTCGCAACAAGCTATACGATCGCCTATGTACAACCTCAAACTGAGTGGTTCGTCCAGCTGGTAGGGAGGGTGATTGTAACATGTCTTGGGTGGTCTACAAGATTACACGCCATCATAGTGGTGATGAGTATATGTGAGAGACGGAGAGACTACTCCACGTGAGGGTTAAGGAGCACTTAGATGATGGCATGAGGCATTCAGAAGCATGTCTTAGGGAGCCACCGAATTCAGAAGAATAACGGAGGCATTTTTGAGGTCACCGCGGAAGACGTAGCACAGGAGTCGCTATTTTGCTCGCGTAAAACGATTGAGGCATTTTGGATACAGGTCAACAATCCTAAAATGAATCGTAGGGAAGAAAGTCTCGAAATTACGCGAGAGTTACGGCCTTATATGAGATTGGCCTTCCCGCAGAGACCTTAATCAGGACATACCCCAGTTGACACTGGTCGGTTGGTGCCATCACTTCCTGGGAGGTTTCGAAGAATCCACAAAACTACAGCGAGTGGTTTTCCTTTCGATCATTTGCGTACCCTGGGAATATCGAACTTGAGTGGGTTGTGGAGACGTTTGATCGGATAGTCATTGCTATTTTCCAGGCTCTAAAGAAGGCGATTCCGAAACGTCACCCTAATAAAACACATTTACAAACCTCTCGAAGAGTTAAAGAAAACAATAAACTCTGTGTTCTTGCTAGATTTCCGCAAAGTGAGCCCTTTGCATTCCGACAGGTGCCGCGTGAAGAGCCGAGTCAGGGTTCTGACTTTGACTTGCGGAAGGCTCTTCAGATGTTTTGGTTTAATCCGGAAGTCGTTCGGTTCTTCATTGGCGTGGTCGCATGTAGAATTTTTGGAAGGAAGAATCAGAGAAGCGATATATTCGTCTTGCCTAAGATGGTAGGTAGGCAGGTAGACGTGGTTGTCGAAGAGATAAGTATAGAAGTCGTATATGACCTCCTCCATTGCCCTTTCGGATGTAGTAGCTGCTCCGTCAGAGCGACGTGGAGAAGTAATTTCGGTCTCGTATTTGGCTCCATCAGGCTTTGCGAAGGCTCTTTGCGGCCTCGGCGGCTTCGTCCATAACGGCTGCTCTTCTCTCTTTCAAAAGTTCGGGAGCGCGGAAAGTGTCCTTTCTCGGCATCTTTGGGACTCTCTGCTTTCCTGCCATTGTCGTGAAGATGCTCGACGAGGTCGTTGTATTCTTCATCGATGTTGTCGCTGATGGAATCTCCCCGCAAACTCGCATGTGACGTGAAGTGATCCTGGTTGACAAAAAACTTGAGGCTTCTCTCTGAACTTCGCAGATCTCTCTCCACGCACTAGAAGCGGAATGTTGCGTGGAGAAGACGATGGTGCGGTCCCTTGCAAAGCTTCGGCGCAACATCGACGTCAGGCAAGCAAAACCTCCGAATGAAAATGATGTGGGTTATGGATTGTGGAACTGTCCTCCAGATCCATATAAAACGCCTCCAACTGCTAATCTTCGTAGCTTGATGTTGGTGTATGGGCAACGAAGATGGTTAGAGCTGGGGTTGAGCCACATCTTCTTAATCGCAAACTTCCGATTCGGGTTGCTAGGCTTTCGTACGAATCGATGTTCATGGCCAAGTGCGCATTGGCAAGGACACCTACGCCGCCGACGCCTCTGCTGTCGCATGATTCAAAAATCAGTTCTCCACCAATCTCAAATACAGCGTGCAACGGGCGGTACCCTCTCGTCTCGGTCAGTCCGATGACCTCGTACTTGATCTTCCTGGCTTGCATCATCTGATCTTCTTCTTCCTATTCTATACACGCTTCCGATGCAAACGTTCGTGCATTGTAAGCACTGGTCGCAATTGTAGTCCTTCTCATTTAAGGCAGCCTGTCTATGCTCTGAAATTTCAGCCCCTCCTGAGCGGCCCTATCCAGCGCTGCCGTAATGGGGCTCAATCAGGTTCAGAGGGACAAGCTCATGTATATCCGTGTTCTTGGAATATGTACCACACAAGTAGTTCGCCAGGCTCTGACGTGGGGCTTCATCACCCACCGTTGGGTCGACTCCGGGTGCTAGGTAGACTAACACAAAAGTGGACAAGGGGCTTTATCACCCAGTCCACCTGCGTCTCAAGGCAAGTACCTGCGGCTTTAGTCGGCAATTTACTCTCCTATTCGCTACATGGGGACGTCTTACGTCGATAATCTGCTGGGATCCTCAATTAGAAGAGAATCCTTAGTGAATGCGATGTAACATACCATGTGAAAAAACGGAAAGCAAGCAAGTTATGAAGTTACAAAAAAATCGAAATTTGACTTTTTTGTGATTTTTTTGAACAATTAGAATGGGTATTGTACTTGTGGATCTCAGGAATCTCTGCAAAATATCACTTTGCATTCATATCACACTGTTTACATTTTATAAAATTCCTTTACTTTTTTATTCCTTGTTGGGATCGCCAATTTTTTGCCTTTGCTCTAAAACATTGCAGTAGACTAACAAATGAGCTGGAATTAATTCAGTGAGTGAGTAAGGCGCAGGACTAAAGGCGATATGGGGAGAATTTCTGTATGATCAACTACATTCCAGTGGATTTATCTATGGAAGCTCACTACCAAACCACGTTTACTATAACCGACACTTACACTTCCTCGGAACTACTTGCATTCGCTGCTATGGGGTGAGTGTTACTCGTTACAACATCTATGTACATTAATTTAAAAGGTTGCCACCTGGCCAACCGAAAGATCGAGAGATCACCCTCAAAGTCTTATGTTTTTGTATGACAATGTCAGTATATGTTACCTGAACTTATGTTATGTTAACTTGTTATTATATCTTATCGGCTGATTTTCCTTGTTCTAGCCTTCCCGGCGTACCATCCACCGCACAAGGTAATGTTTGAAGCAAGTAATGTGTCGTGTTGTGTGTATTTAATGCAGTAACGTCAATACAGACTGTGCAGCATTCTCATTGAGCATTTGAAAGATTGAAGCCTAGAATTTCCTATCGAACAAAAAAAAAGCGGATCATTCAAAATATGAATATGAAATCATAATACGGATCATAATAAACAAATATGTCCTGCACCGTGAAGGTAGATCGAGGGTTCCTCCCTTCAGAACGTGACCGGGTGACCATTGAAGTTCCCACCATCCTTTCACTTTCGTCGCTGCTTCTGACCAAGTGGGATTGGTTACTATAGAATAGGTTCTAGCGACGACGTACTCTTTTGATTATATCCAGAAGGCCTTTGCCTCTATTGAGGAAATTCATTGATTATCATATTTTAAACCTAAGCATGAAGAAGAGACCTTCACACTCATGTTGTTCTTATTATTTTGATGCAATTTTTCCTGAGTGGATGAGTTCCGTCATACGACAACGAAATGCAGCAGCTTTTGGAAATGAAGGCTAGCAAACATGACGTGATACTCATTCCCAGTAAATGATTTGCTTACATTTTAGAAGAAGCACTCCTCTATAGTCCGCAAGCCGTTGCTCGTTCTCAATAAGAAAAGCTGGTTCAACTTTTAAATCCGGTGTGCGGCATGTGACTACCTCTTTATTGCTTTTTCAAGTGGGGTTTCTTGAGTTCAGGAACGAGTTATCACTTCATTAAAAGTCTTCAAGTTCTCAACTCTTCGCAATCAATCATTGGCCGTTGAGAACGAATAGTTACTCTCTAAATTTCATACTCGATTTAGGCCTTCAATATTACACTAAAACGCAACTGAATCTCCTTTTTTCATAAGAATTTGACTCTCAAAAACTAATATAATTAATATCCTTCCCCAAAAAGCTATGCTGTCATGAACACCGATCCACGAATTCAACTTAAACATTACACCTTCAGTACCGATTTTCTACCCTTCCTATTCACTCAGCCACTCAATTAGCCACCTGGCTTAGCTGACCAAGAAAGAGAACTGCTAATCGAGTGGCCGAGTGAATGAGAAGGGTAGAGAACTGGCACTTAAGATGATTGGACCTGCTGTGATGTGTGCCATCAATGAAACATCCTCAGAATTTTGCATTTCTAATTGAAAGACTAGCAACTGGGCACAAATCCTATGTTTTCTCTGCTTCAACTGTTTTCGTTGATTAGAACAATACACAGAACAAGACTCTCGGTTAATACCTAGATTGAGTCATACTTGCAGGTTTTACTCCTCAAAGTGATGACCGCATTTCTTGTTTGGATCTCTATCGTTTCTGCCCTAAATAATTCTACCAATCGGTTCTCCCGGCCAAGGCCAGGCTTCCCTCCTTTTTTGACAAAGTTGTAGTAATCGTTCAGCCCTACACCCCTTCTTTGAAAAAAAATAGTATTTTCTCGTACACGAAGTATGGCACAGGGCCAACAGGGCGGTGCTGATGGTGTTCAGTGTAAGTCAATTCGAATTCTCGATTTTTTGCCCTTTTTCTTGAAATTAAACACCCATCAAAGATTCAACTGTTAGGCGACCATAGCCTTGTGCAGTTCTCACAAATGTTTTGAGTGGTGACAACACCATTAACATATTTCGCCATCAATGCACCTTTTTCTTTACACAGATACTATTAGTTGAGAATTCCAGATCATTTTCGGTCGGTCAAGTTTTGTCGCAAATGCTATCGAACAAAGAGTCCTTCATCGAGTCACAAACTTTGCCGGATAGCGGGTAATTTAATAGCAAGAAGTGTACAAAATTCTTACCTGCTTATAGCAGTGCTGCTAATAGGACCCTATCACAGCCCTTACCACTCACTTTTGTCTCCCTTCTCTACTATCTGTCTTACTGAATGAAACATGTCAGAGAGACAATGTTTGATTTTGAATACCAAAGCCATTACGATTTGATTTGTAAGTGACCCCTGCTCTTGAAGACCACTTATCAGATCTTATCGCTTTTATCAGTTCCTGTCACAGAGTATCTACGACCACTTCACACCCTACATCACCTTTTAAAATGCCAAGGTTCCGCTGTTGACATGAAGGGGACTATAAACCTAGTGGCTCTAGCCTTCTGGTTCCTCATTAGCCCTTGCCCGTCTGTTATCAGTCGTTGTCACCAATCACCTTCGGTCCCTTTACATCCTACACTGCCTAATAAAGCGCTTTTCTGTTAATATGAAGACGTTGTAGACCTAATGGCTTTCGCCTTTTATGACTCGTTATCAGTCTCTGACGGTTGTTATCGATCCTTACCACTGAAAATCTAAGATCACTTCTTAATCCACATTCCTTACTAAAGTGCCAATGTTCCACCGTTTACACGAAGGAGGTAATGGATCGCGTTGCTCTCGCCTTTCAAAGCTATTTATCAGCTTCTTTTAATGGTTATAACCTCCTTTCTCACATCACAAGTGTTCCCATCCTGCCACCAGCATTCCTACCAAATTTCAACGCTCTAGGTCCACGGGAACAGGACTTATGAGTTACCGCTCAAGCCCCGTCCATTATGGGCAGAGTCTAGTCCTGCTAGTTGCTATAAGTGTTCCCATCCTGCCTTTAGTACTCCAGCGAATTTGAACCCTTAGGTGCACGGGGATAGGACTTATGATTTTCCGCTCCAACATTTATTTCGAGCATACCCCGCCCTGGTGAGTGAAGTCCGGTCCTAAGTGTTTCTCTCCTGCCTCCTGCACTCATACCAAATTTGAACGTTCTAGATCTATGGGGGCAGGAAATATGAATTTCCGTGCAAACAGGCAGACAGACACACCGACCGACGCGAGCGCCTTTTATACATCAAAGAAATTCGATATTTCTGTAAGCCGTTTGATGCGCTTTCTTTTCCACATAAGCTAGGATTCTCGCTGGATTCTTTAAAATTTCTGTAAGCACTGTTCCGTTCGCAATGTAATCCTTGCACTGCTAAATATTAGCATCATTTTCAAGCTCATGTATAGGCCACCACAGTCGATGCATTTGGCTGTGTAGGTGGTAAAACAGTTCAGACGGCGGCGTCATTGATAGGTAGGCTACTGTCGCAGTGCGAAGAAGCTTCGTCGTTGATTACTGTAGCAGCCGCTGCGGTCGGTGGACGAACCTGTCTCTAAGGTCATTATCTAAAGTCACTATATGAAGCAGCGGAATTCGAAGTGAACGTCCTTGTCTTAAGGTGATCTCATTCATCGAAAGCAGTCGCATATACGGGCTCTACCCGGTTAATTAGAAGCGCAAATTTAAAGGAAGTTAGTTTGATGACGCACAGCATAGCAAATTCAATCAATAGTGTCTTGGTCAACTGAGTCAGATAGCTGATTGGGTGGCTAGGGAGCAGGTACGGTGGAAAATCGGTGCTGAAGTTGCAAATACAAAGTGAAATTCGTGAAGCGATTTCCGCTTAATTTAGTAGCAATGAATAATAATTGTAACGAGAAGTTTATTTCCATTGAAAATTGAGCTTCAGTTCTAGCGCTTCATATGCGATCTATATGAAGACCGAGGCTCCAGAAAATTTAGCATTCCTTAGCCTCAGCGAATACCCACAAAGAGTCTGTTGTCAATATTTTTGAAAAGCGGAAAACTTCTTTCTATACCAAAAATTTTACTTTAAAGAAGCGAGAGACGTATTTCTATTGTCGAAGCAAGCCCTGAGCCGCGTTTGGACACAAAATAGTTTTTCTCCTTGAAGTTGAGCATGCGATATGATAACTGTAGGGAGGTGTTCTTTCTTAAGTATAATCATATCACTCACTGACGATAGAATTTACCGCATGCCTGCTATGAGTTCAAAAGTCCATGCTTTGGATTCTGAGCATGGCTATATTCATCCATTTTGGAAAAAAAGATTGGTATCGAAAATATATCGGTACAATCTGAGGAGCGCAACAGCCTCTTTTCGACAAGCTCTGAAGTATTACAGTTACTTCACAACTCACTGAGAACTTTCAATGGAAGCGAATTCTTCCTGGTTATAATTAGCGTCACTTAGAAACTTTGATCGGAGCAGTACTTCCAAATTGAACTTTGCTAAATTTCGGATCCATCATTATGTAGATAGGCAGGCTGCATTAAAGTTTGTAACACTATATCCAAAAAGTGAAAACCAAACTAGTTTGCAAAGAAAACGAAAAAATGATTTTTCGCATTTTTCGTGATTTTCAGAACAATTGGGTTAGATATTGTACCTCTCGAAAACTTGGATTTTACGAAAGCAGGATCAACATTCAATAATCGTCAATCCACACGCTGTGGAAAGGACTATGCTCGGAGATTCCCGAAACGCGCAAGTGCAGAGGGGATGAGGCCCGATATCTGAGCTCCGTCGACCAATGGAGATTAGGGACGCGGCGCTTACGAAAAGGAATCGAAGATAAGTGGACGCCATGCCAATTTTTGATGATCGTTGGATCAGAGCAATGCTGAGTTGATCTCCGTGGACGCTAAACGAACACCAGATAGGTTGCCAGCGTGATGATCAAGTTCACCTTCCGTCACGAAAGCTGTATACGAGAGCAATTCTATGCCTTGTGTCCTTCGAGCGAGGACGATTCAATGGGCTACTATGGCTCGCGACAGGAACAAAGGGAGATATTACTGGCGCTCGCTCCCAAAAAACCCTGCTCAGTAAGAAAACAGGTGATACAGGTGAATACTGTTAACCGTCAAAGGCACTTTTGGTGAGTATCATGCACCAGTCGGGCCGCTCGGCTAACGCCGGGCTTCCCTCCTTCTTATGGTTCGCCCGGCTAC